TCTAAGCTCTTGTTTGGCCGCTCTAACTGAGCATAATAACGAGCAGTTTTTTCACTCTTCCAAAACTTTAATTTAAATAGTCGCTAAATGCAGCGCTCGCCTGGCATTTGGGCTTGCCTATGCAATTGGCTTCGTAATTGCCAAATAACGTATTTTCAAATTTGTCCAGCAATCGTTTATGCACATATTTTGGCTAACTGGCAGCTGCACATTTTGTTGGCCATGTCGCATTTTGTCAAACTAACACATCATTTTCCGGTGCATGCTTCTAGGCAAATGCGGCTTGGACACAGCTATTTTGCGGCCATTTCGATGCGTTCGCAGCACGCACTCGAAAACATAAATGTGCATAGAAATTGTTTCCTGTAATTATGTAAATAACGCAGCAGGTTCTGCAGTCGCAGCTGCGTGAGCTTACATTGAAAATGAAAAGCGAAAATAAAAACTGTTTTTTACGACGACAAAAAATAGCAAAAAGAAGGAGGAAAAAAAATTGTAAAATGAGTCCAGAGAATTGACCTTAACAGCAATTAAGCCGCTTAACCCCCAATGGTCAGAGTCATGCTCGCAACGCTAACACTCCTCTTCCTCTACCGGTGCCTCCACCATGCAGCCAACCGCTCACTCTCCGCCTAAATCCGCATAAAAATTTTTAAGCTGCCATTGCTCTCTAGCACATCCCTTCCACCAGCCACACCCCTACCCACAGCAGCAACCACTTGACAAATGGAAAAATGGCACCCAAACTTCCGGCTGTTACAGCCTGCAGTTTGTCAGGCAGCCGCTCTAAAGCTTCAATTTGTTTTCGTTTTTGGCTTTTAGCTCGTTGCGAGATTTTCATGAATTTTATGTAACGATCTCTCGGCCAGCCTCCTGTGGCCCGCCCGCTCAGCGGAGCTGCCGGCATTGGGCTGGGGCGTGTCGCACGTTGAAAAACTGCATCGAATTGCAAATTCAATAATAGTTGTGCGATTCGTTCGTGGCTGTTTTGATTTTTATCCAAGCAATCGAAGTTTACTCCCCTTGGCCAACAGGCCTCCCCACCTCTCAGATTATTCATATTTTCCCCGTGTAAGTGTGTGTGTGTTTGCCATTGATTCGCCCGTTAGTTTTAAGTATGGCAAACGAATGCGGAACCAAGTCAAGCACCAAAGCGCTGGGGTTAGGTGCTTGTCTAGGGGCTGGGATCACCAACGTCTCGAGTGCGTCACAGTTATTGCTGGCTGGTGGGTGGCTCTGGCATACACTGTAATTGGTTCGATAATAAATACAGCAATTGATTTGTTTTTCTCCCCCACACACACAGCTTGGATTCAGATTTAATTAAAGGCAAAGGTGTGTTCAAACGAGGGGGTAGATGCATAGGAAATCAGTGGCAAAGTGATAAGGGAAAGCGTGACCCCTTTTGAGCGCAGGTCGTTGGCACACACTTGTGAGAGCACTCAGATTGATTGAAATAAAATCATTGCTAGATATTGATTAAGTTCAAACTGAAAGCTTAAATTAAATCAAATATATATTTAATAAATAAACGTTTTCAATGTTAAATTATTTTTAACATGCTGCTTTTCAGATATGCACACATCATGCTGTCAAATAAATGACATGTAATTGTTTTAAGACCCGACATAGAAACTATTTTTGGTTTGTCATTCAGTTGTCACAGAGCATCTCGAACAATCTTACATGAATGCTCTGGCGGAGGGTATTAAAGTGCTGTCATGAAATGTGCAGCACATTCAAGCGCACTTCTTCAAAATCATAAAGTATTATCTGGCACAGAACGAGTGCTGAAAGCACGCATGACTTGCTAAGTAGGTGGTAGCTGGTTCAAACCATGAACTGAACTCCTGACCAGATTTTGCGAGCTTTTACCTCTTATGATTACATCAATTCAGCTCTTCGCTTTTAGCTTCGATTCGGGAAACTGGTTTTTCACAATTTAAACTCTAATCAAAATTAACATCTATGTAATCAAAAATACATTTTTGTTCAAAAATGTTTCTGTGACAATGTATGTAATAGGCAGAAGGAAACATCTTTGACGCCATAATAATCAATATTCGAGTCGATCTAGCTGATCTGGCCGTCTGTCTGTCTGTCCGTCTTGAAATGTTAAATATAGGTGCTCCTAGTGCCTGCGCAGATCGAGTTTGTTTCCGATAATCGATAACTTACTCCGATTCCAAGCAATCGATAAAAATCGGGCAATTTTGGTAAATAATAAGAGCAAGAGCTACCAAAATTGACATATAACTGACCTCTTAAATAGAATATATATATATGCATTTGATGATGGAAGAAGAGGGACCAGGGTAACCCCTAGTCGTGACCTCTTGTCTTAATTTATTTTTACCGTTTGTAATTCTTTGGTTACATAAAAGTCCCGGATTTCTATTAGTATTTTAGAAACTTCATAGATATAGAATTCGTCGTCTTTGCAAATTAAATTTGTTTGAACATCTCTTTCGTTTTTCAAGCTATCCAAACAATTCATACAAAAACTTTTTATGCATATACATATATCGAAATTTTAAGAGTATTCAGTGTTTGGCATACAATTTTGTCATCAACTAGCTGCTTTATAAAATCTTTCTTAAGCACATCTTGAGTCTGGCGATGTTTTAAGCGCTAAAAATAAAGCCACAAAGCCCACTTGTCTTGGCCTAAGAGAAACCTACACTCAAAAAAAGGAGCATATTTTGCAGCACTAAATAAATTCGAATGCTACGCCGCATACAAAAAAAAAAGAAAAAAAAAAACAACAACAAATGCCAGGCACGTTGCTCGCATTTATCAAGCGAATGACAAAAACACAATCACACACACACACACAACAGTCATGTGTGCTAACAAGAACAACAACAACAATTGGCACACCTTCACACCCACAAGCACACACATGCGCATTCACACACACGGAGATGAGCCTGTCGCTGTTGACAAAGAGTCGAAAATTTCAGTCACGCGAAAGGATTGAAAGTCATTTGATGTATTCACTGTCATTTAAGTTGCCGAGCTGATAAAGTGACTGATAGATAAATACATATACCTGCACATATACACATGCATGTCGGCAGATATTGAATCGAGTCGATGGGGGCCTGGCCCTGCCAATAACAACTACAGCAACAACAACGAAACGCTTTCAGCTGTATGCATATAGCAGTGGATAAACCCAAGAATCGGCAAGTTAAATGCATTTAAGTGACAAGGACGATGGCACTAGGAGTCGTCTGCCTTATTGACATGTGTCTTGGCCAAGACAGACAGATCGACAGACGGAACGTTAGTTGTCGCAGCAACTCAATTATATATACACACACATATATATATATATATATATATATATATATATATATATATATATATATATATATATATATATATATATATATGTATGTATATAACGATATGTATAAAAAGATAAAATTTAAATCTGCGCCGCATGTTCCATGTGGGCAACTTGTGATTTATTGAATAAATCAGTGGGGTGTTCAACTTCACGAGTTCTTCAAATATTTATCAGTGCCAGTGTGTGTCTGTGTGTATGTGTGTGTGTGTGTGTGCGTGTGGTTTTGAAATTTATGTGCGCAGGTAAATAAAATGTGCCTCCGCAGACCTGCTGAAAGCCGCAAGACGAGGCAATAAAAAACGTGTAAGAAAATTGTGCAAGTGTGTGTTAAACATTAAAGAGCACATTTTCGAAAAAGAATTTGTGTGCACACACTTGGCGGAAGGATTTAAACCATGTGCATACACTTAGCGGCAGAGGAGGTAAAGAGCTTTATTCCAAGCCCCTATTTCATCATTTTTTAAAACCAGCAAACAAACGAAGACCGAAGCCCAAAAATCCGAAAAAAAAATGTTTTAAGAAAAAAGACTAAATAAATGCAAGTTATAATTTATTTTAATTAAAAGATTTGTTTAAATTATTTAATTTATTGTTTTTGGCATCTGGATCAACAAACAGGAAAATCTGAAAAAAACGTTTATTAAAAAAATATAACTATATGTAGAAGCAAAATTGCAATATTGAACATCAAAAGCTGCCAGGCCGAAGCTCTTATCAAGATGTTGCCTAAAGAATCTATGAAAACCAATTGCACGAATTTGACAAAGACCTTGGTTCAAGCCCTTTAATGCTGCGGCCCAGAAACAGCCCCAAAGACGGTTCAGTTAAATTTGTACTAAAAAAGCACAAATAATTTGTTTAAAAAAAGTTGTATAAATCAAATTTGCTGCACGTTGCAATCTTTAATATTTAAGCTTTTGCATTTAAAATTAATAATAAATGTTATTTTTTTTCCAAATCGCATAAATTTTAATCGCACCGCCTTTCAGTGGCATTATATTTAATTAAGGCTAATTAAGAAAAAATAAATGTATGCACATAAATAAATATTGTTTTTTGTGTGATTTGTTAGCCATTTTTTGCCCCTGCAAATTTATTGAGTGCATTAATTTTGTGATTATGCCATTTAATTATTTAATTTTACATATGATTTTGATTTCATATTTGATTTTAATTTATTTTCTCTCATATTTTATTTAGAATTAATTCAGCTGCACTTGATCAACAAATTTAAAATAATTTCACATAATATATCACACCTGCCAATCTTTTTTCCAAACAGATAAACCTTTCAGAATGCATCACGTTTGTCAATCCTAAACTAATTGTTTGCTAATTGAACTAAATTGTTGATTTTCGTGTTGACTAGCGTGCGATTATTTCGTCAAAATACAAAATATTTACATAAGTTTGCTAATTTATTAATTTAATAACCATTGTCAACTAAATGTTGACTTTGTTTGACGGGAATCATAAAACAAATTTATGTTATTCAAGATTTAAGAGAAAACAATTTTAGAAATTTTTAAAGGGCGCCAAATTATTTGTAACCGGTTTTTACATTGCAAATATTAAAGAAAAGAAAAATTTCGTGAAAAAAGCAATTCCCATTGAACTGGGAATGAATATAGAAAATGGAACTTACCAATTGCCAAGGTGAGAAGAAACGCAGTTCGATAGAAAACTTGAAGAAACCGCATGTTGTTTATTTTATTTGTTAGTAAATCTGCAAGAAAGTATAAAGAATATTAAAAATATTATAAATAAAAAGAGTGAATTGGTACAAAAGCTGTCAAGCTTGAATTTAGTCCAGCCTAGCATAATATTATAATTTATGATACGGCTAGCTATGGTAACAAGAAAGTCAGTTTCGGCAAAGCATTCAAAATACTTGCTAGCCCTTAGAGTTGAACTTTTGTTCAAAGACCAATAAAACCAGAAACAATAACAACAAAATGGGTTGCTTAATGCGTTAAACTTTTGCTGCAACACGTAACTCAAGTTAGGCTGCAGTTGGTGGTGCCCCGAATGGGCTTCTATAGTTGGGAGCAGCTGGGGCAGCAGCTACTGTGCGACTGCACCTGGACAGGTGTGGCAAAAGCGAGTTTGTTGTTGTTCCGCAAAATATTGAAAGCAATTTTGTAATCAAAAAACCAAAAAAAAAAAAAATGGAAAGAGCAAGCGAACAAGTGGAAGAAGAAAGCTTTATAAAGTAATAACTATAAAGAAAACTGCAGCGATTTAGCCAAGCGCCCAAAAACACACACACATTTTGGGCTAAAAGTTTAATATTTTAGACGTGAGAGCGGCAAGGGGGTTGACTTAACGAACCACAAAATGTTGGGGAAAAAAGTCAGGAGTGCTGTGAGCAAGACTGCACGACTAGCAGATACCCTCTTACCGTGCAGAGAAGAAGTTACACAAACATTTAAAATATAGGCATGCTAAGAATGTATGATAAGTATTATTAAATATATTTATTATTTAAATGCACCCAGGCGATAAGCTTAAGAAATTGTTGTACATATTTGTTGGGTTCGGAGTCCTTCTTGCTCTGCAACATACCCCATTTGAGACATATTGTGGGTATACAAAATAAAAAGTGTGCTCATATGAGAAATATTCCACATTTAAAGTTGAAAATCGGATTATTATAATCCCCTTAGCTCATTCTGTGCAGAGAGGAGCATAGCCTTCTCTCTGTCTCTTCTGTCCGACGCATGACATGTTGTAATCTTTTGTGGCAGCAAATTGTATTAGAGCATGCAGAAACCCAAACTCATATGCCCGAAAAATGGAAGGGCAAATATAAAAGAATTTTCGAGTATTTTTGGCCCATTAAGCTTTGCAGTGCCCGCTTTTAATTGCTTTGGCTTCATTAACAGCAGCTGTGAGAAGAACAAAAAAAAAAAGAAACAACTTTTTAATTTATGCATTGACAAACTTCGGGGTCCAAAAAACAAACCCTGCCGCCCATTGAGAACTAAGTGGTCAATGGGCTAAGACAACAGCAAAAACAACAAAAACTGCGCCTGGGCAGTGCAAGATAAGCCTCAAACTGCAATTCAGACACAAGAGTTTCGCACAGCTGTGGGGCGTCAAGGGTTAAATACGGGTCACACGTACTGCTCGCAAAAATTGCATACAGCGCACAAGAGCATAAACCTTTTAATTGGTTTTCGGTCAAACAGTGTACAATAAAGAAAGTAGAAAAAAAAGCACAAGATTTTTTTAAAGCGTTTCTTTGAGTTGACTTTCCGCCAACTGCAGCTGGTTCTCGTATAGCTGCTTCCTGCGCCTCTGGCGCTTTAGACCTTTCTAGGGAATTGCCTTCACTTGAAACGACGCAACTTTTAGATGCCCAAAGTCGCCGGCAGTAAAGTTAAGCCAATTGCTTTGTTGCAAGCAACAATTTTAACATAATTTTACAATATTTAAACAATATTAATTGTGCATAAAATAAAATTCAATAAATGTAGGATCCTACGACTTCATATAGCTAAATACGCACAAATAAGTAAATAAATTTAATGTATAAATAAATAGCTTAAGAAGTGATAATGTCAAAATATACATATACTTATTTTAATTTAAGAGCAGGTTAACTTCAGTAAACTTTTAACAGTAAACCGCACTGCAAAAGGATGTGAGCTCAGAAGTTAATTGGACAAAGAAAATTGTATTAAATCGACAAAAATAAATTATATTAATCTACTCCAGATTCAACAATGTAGAAAGCATATATTTATTAACATATTACCATATTACCTTATTCAAATAGGTTTCTGCTTCTTAAAATTTGTATTCTCTAATGCTATCAACTATATTTTATTAACATATATTGACTTGGTTTTCTTTGATTTTTTTAAGGAACTAAAATCTAAAAACAAAATTATATTTTGCGATTTAAATTTTTATTTACAATCTTTCATGCGCTAATAAGTAAATTATATTGGTCTAAAACAGGCAATAACAATTATTTGAATTCCCAAAAAATATTCCTGTTCAAATATAGCAGCACAAATGTCAAATTGGAAGCAAAAAACAATTTAAAATTCAATGACACAATTATAATTAAGTAAAAATTATAATGCAATACTAAATATATATACAATAAGCTAAGACGTAGGAAAATTTAAATTTATATAAGGCATATAAAATAATTAAAGAAAAAACAATAATAAGAATAAAAGAAAATGAAATAATTTATTAAGAAGGCATATATATCTTTTTATACATTATAACTGAAATTTCATTGTTGTTTTTTTTTTTATATACACTGAAGTTTATATTCGATGCTTTTCTGAGCAAGAATAAAAGTATGCAATTTCTACAATATTTACCCATTACAACAACCTGCACCACAGCAATTTCCCATGCCTTTTGCTCAGATATTACTTTGCGAAAAATAGATGGGGAGGAAAAAGTAAAAACTACATTGAACCTCGTTTGGCAGAGAGGCTTAGCAACTTGCACTCTGCTCTTATTTTTATCTCTCTGGCCATATATTGAAAATGGCAACGAGAAAAACTTTACAAATTTCCAGCGTAAATGGTTATATTCTATGGGATGTAATGGAAAAAAATCGAGTCGAGGCAAGTGTGGAACTTTTTGCGATGCCACACACAAACTTTGGCCAAGGGATCCCACATATCAAAAGTTCTTTGGGCAAATAAAACAACAGACAGACCTTTGGGCGATTGAAAAATATTTCCATATGTAAATTTACCAAATGTTATTCTTGTTATACCCTGTACTGGCCGAAAAATTGGTTAGCAAAATGTGCGCTCTGTGGTTTACTGTAACTGACAGAAGCTCGGCCCCGTCAATTCTATTAGGTATTAGTTTATATATGATATAGTTTCGGAACTGCTTCAAATGCCGAGTCGATGCAGCCCATGTATTTGAAAGTATAATGTTATTCGAGTAAATTTAAGGCGGCTTTCATAACGTTCGTTAAGCATATAAGAGTTAGAGAGAAGCTGGAGCTTCTTATATTGTAAACAAGGGTTAAGAGTATAGAGCTGCTTTAAAACTATCGACCTACTATAAATATAATCATTTACAATTTTTTGTATAGACACAAATCATAATATGACCTGTAAGGCCCGAACATTTCAAATGAATTGCATAAGAAGTACAAAAGTTGTTGAAGAATGAAATTTTATAGATGAGAAACAGATGGAAGTCAAGGCTTAAAGCCCAATTCCACTATCATCATTTCTTACATTTTTTGCGAATGTGAAGTAAATTTTGTCTTAGACCCGAAATTCACAGAATGTAAAGTATGCCAATGTTACAAATGTTTAGTTAGTGGAATCAGGCTATAAGCCGCTGCGTAAAATGCTTGTAGCATAACGATTGGAGCGAGGGTTTTCTACAGGGTATCTTCCAATCGGGGACTCTACATTTTTGTTGTTGTTGCCAACATACACAACTATATATGTATCGATATATATGTTGCCTACTTGCATTTCAAGTGCAACAACAACAATAAATTTGCCTGGCAATGCTGAAGGCCAAAATGCAGAGAAATCTACCTACAAAATTTGCTGGAATTGTTGTTGTTGTTGTTGTATATTTGGCTGCGGTTGGCAGCGCCGTCGCCTGCAAAATTTTGTGGCATGTGGAAATTTATTTCATAATCTCAACAGCAACAAGAACAGCAACAACAACTGCAGCCCAAGCCCGAATAAAAAAAAAGAAGGAAAAGCAGGGAAACTTTTTGCATATGAGAGCCACGAGTAGCTAAGCATGTAATTTATATCCTTGAACGTCGCACTTTCTAGTGCGCTCTCTCTCTCTCTCTCTCTCTCTTTCTCTGTCTTTCTTTGCATCTCTCTCCCTGCCACTCTCTTCCTCTAGCTCACAGCAGCGGAGCTGCAGTCTTTGGTTCTCTTGGAGCTGCAATAAATTTGCTTTTGTTGCGGCTGCTTCTCGCCTACTTCGTCTTTGCCTTCTTCTGCTATTTTTGTTGCTGTTCTGCAATTTTATTTGACCACATAAATTGTTTACCAATTTTCACAAGTTTGTCTGTTCAGCCATATGTGTGTGTGAGTCTGCCTGCGTGTGTGTGTGTGTGTGTGTGTTTGCAGTGTGGCAAGTCCTTGTTTGTTCTCAATGCTAAAAGCGGTTTAATAGCACTCTGGCAACCTTTTGATTTAGCGCCCGCCCGAATGCTGCCCATGCATCTACTGAAGGCTCAAGTGTTTCCATTTTTCCTTTAAATATTTTCTAATTGGAACATTTGTGAGATGCCAATAAGTCAACAGAGTGAGAATTAGTAAAGCAGGCAGGGAGAGAGAGGGAAGAAGGGAGGGAGCTCAGACAGAGCCTATAGAATCTTTTTTTGATAAATTCTTTTTTTTTAGCTGAGAAACACATTTGCAGCCTTTGATGTGGACTAATACTTAAATTGCTTTGCCCCTTGCAATAAATAAACATTGCCAAATCAATCCTAGTTATTGTTTTCTGTACACATTTAGCATTAAATTAATATAGTTTTATTTAAAAACTTTTCATATATTATTTATAAGCCAATTTAAGCTTTACGTCAATGAAAACAAAAAATATATATGCAAGCGCTTAATTTTTTTAAAAGAATTCAACAGTTAAAAGCTTTACAATTTGTTATAAAATTATAAAAAGTATGGAATAAACCGAATAATTTTTCAAAAAGTTCTGTCATAGCAAGTAAATACAAAAGAGAATAAGAGCTTCTAGTCG